TCTGTCTAAAATGTGGTGGAGTTTTGAGAAAGCTCACACAATTGAGTTAAGGGTCCTAAAAAAAAGTCTTAATCCAGCCCCTCTACTGAAATACCAGCAAACAAGCCTCATAAATCAAAAGGTTTAGTGAAGTGAAGTTCTACTCACTTTTAAGACGGATCTACTTCATCATCGAGGTGTTTTTCTTTGAAACAATACAACTCAACTGTGGCTAGCTCTGCTTATCGCTCTTCAGTCCTCAGTCTCAGAATAACTGCATGCAAATACTTAAAGATCCATAAAGAAACAGCTCCTAGTGCTCATGATACAGTTTATTATTTGTGGAGTGAAGTCCTTGCTACATTCAGTTTGAACTGAAGTTGATGCAGAGAACTGTCCTCATGATTAACGACGTGCATACCATCCCACACAAACACACACACACACACACAAATGTACAGACACACATAGAGAAAGAGCTACAACCTACGTATCAGATACATCACAGACATTTTAAGTTATGTGAATACCTTAAATCGCTATGTACCATCACTTCAATGCAGATGAGCATCCAGCAATGCAGCGGTATTACACTTTGCAGACATACATACTTATACCCGCACCGCCTCTGTATTCCGGTTTCCAATTGTTTCTTTCTCTCTGTCCCTCATGCACACATAATCGCACACCAACAAATTCCTATCCCTGGCTCTAAATCAAGACTATAAAAGTCATTTAAAATAAACATCAATGCATAATCTTACAAGCTTACACAACAAAATGAGCTGTCCTTTCATAATCATTCAACAGCACGCTTTCAATTCAGCTGTTTTTCACTGAGTTTTAACTGCACTTTCATTTCATTTTTCTCCATAAATTCTGCCTATGCAATCATAACTAGTGCGTATTCAAAATTAATGGACCTAAACTGTGGCTTGATAAATGTTAGAAATAAACATTTCATTTTGGGATTTTTGTTTTTTTGTAGATCTTTTCACTTTGTAGTCATAGCAGCTGAACAGAACAGAAGCTACAATGTCTTAGAATTTTGAATTTCTGAAGCTGTCAGTATCAAAATAATTGTGGTTATACAATTCTTCAGGTTTCCACCTTTTCTGCAGTCACATTTGAAGCTTCACTCGTCCTCAAATCTACTTTGACAAGCTAAGAATCAAAATCATCTTGCCAGCTTTAGGTGATGCTTGAATGCAGCAAGGAAAAAAAAGCCACCGTCTTCTCTGTCTCCTTTCTCAAGTTCAAATTGGAACATCTGTCATTGGTTGTGTAGCTATAGAAACTTCAAAGTGCATATCCGGTTATCTTAGATGAGTAAACATGAATCCAACCTGTCAAACTCCCCAGTCTGCCCTGATAGCTCAGCTTGTTACAGTGGATGCAGTTCTTCTATATAGATATATGTGTGTAAGGGTGTGCGTTTGCTTGTCTGTGTGGATTGTTCATTCTCAGTGTGTGTGTGTAGGTTTGAGGGCGGCCATGCAGCTGCTAAACACCGTTGTTAGTGTGTGTGCGAGGGTGTTTGTGTGAAGGTATATTTTGTGACTTTTTTTTGCTTAACTTTCGGTTAAACATTAGGTTAATGCCAGCATGAACGGGAGTGCATCTGCATTAGTCACTTCACGTCTCGAGTATGTTTGTCAATTTAAAGTATCCTATTCTGAGACTCACTTGCTCCTTGCACTGTGTGTCCTGAGTGGGTGCAAGGAGACAGGACTTGGCACTGATTCGCTATCTTTCCCCAACAAACCGTTTAGCTTTAAGGACTTTTCCCTCTGACTGAACAAAGTTCTTATGGAAGGTGACAAGAGCATGTGGCTGGCACAAAGTGATTTCCCGTTTTACTGTCACTTTAACGTGATATGCTACATGTCGCAGAGTCAATTCCCCGCTACCTGTGACAGATAGAAATTGGCCAGGCTGAGGCCCCTGCAAAATGGGTTTTCCAGTTGATGTGAGCGAGAGCACCACAGCAAGTCACTCGGAGAGATCCATTAGAGTTTAGATTGCTTCAAACGGTAACGGTGGTCCGGTGGTTTGCTGGTACATGCACTGGAGTGTGTGGAGATGCTATTGGCGGATGCGAGTGATGTTACAGCCAGGGAAAGATACATTCATTATCTCCTCGTTGTCCATGATAACCTCTTACATCATACAGGCACACTGTGTGTTTGGAGTTAGTGTTTGGAGACCCTGATAGAGAAGGTCAACTGGAGAGGTTGTAGGGGCTTTGGGTATGGGTTGTGAGTTTTGGTATTTTGTGTGATCATCAGATAGGAATGCAGGTTTGGAGTAGAAACTGCTCTGAATTAGAGGAATAATAAAATGGGACTTTTGAGAAAAATCCTGGAGATTTAAGAGACGTTCCATCAACAGAGACTTGACAGATGGTAGCAGGAAATCATTACATTTCTTTCCAGCTAAAAAATAAAAAGATAACCAGACATCAGTTCCTTGACTATTATCTTTATTTATTTATGTGTTTCTTACGTTTTAACTTTTTTGGGAGCAGGTGGGAGCGGTGAACATTACACTCACATTTAAAGTGTACTTGTGAATTTATTGACTTTCTTCCATCTCTGATTTTGGTCTTTACCAACTCATGAGGGAAATATCTGGGTTTGATGTAATGAATGGTATTAATAACCACATCTATCAATTGGTTTGTGTGCAATCCCCTTTTTAATATATTGTTTTAACATTGTCATTATTATGTTAAGCTGTTTTAAAGCTGCTGCAGACCTGTCAAAGCAAGCCTCAGAATAGCCCCTGATCTCTATGATAAACCGATACAAAATACCACCAATAAAATGTTAAGTATTATGCATTGGCAAGTTTGATATGATCATAAACGCAGCTCAACAAGAAAATAAGAAAGTATGTTTTGTAAAATGGTGCAAAGAGCTGCAATTGTCAGTAACTAAGAGATATGAAACCATTCATGTTGGCTTTAAGAGCCGATTCAACCTTGTTTACAGGTTTGGTAAACCATGCCCTAACCGTGGGTCAACAGCAACAACAGTTTGTGTTTATTGGTGATTTGAAGATGCGAAGCGGCGGCATTAAGTTGTCCTATAAAGACAAACAGTGTGTTGCGTTATGTTCTTAAAACACTCCTAATCCTTGTTTTTGCTAGAGGCTAATGTTTGTGTTCTGCTTGGTGTTACAATAATAGCATGTATTTCAGTATTAAATCACAGATGTGGTGAAATGACACTCCTCTGCTTCTTTATATCCTAGTGGCAGTTGACTATTTTAGCATCATAAGTTGTATTAGCTTCTCTCCCTCCCTCTCTCTGTCCTTCTCTTTCTCTCTGTCTATGGGTTGAATAAGGGAAAAGTAGGATAACTTTTCAGAAAAACACAGTTGTGCCTCCTGTTTCCTCTTGCTCCTTCTCATCCCTTTTCCCTGTCAGGTTTGCTCGGCATTATCTGCAGTTAAAGAGTTTCTCTCGAGAACAAGACAAACTCTCCGTCTTTCTCTTTCCGTCCCGCTTTCCCATCCCTTCCACTATTCACCCTTTCTCACTGCCCTGCACAGAAGGCAAGGCAATTAAAAGGGAATATGCTAGATTGTCTGTGTTTATACCATCTCGACAAAGGTTGCCCGGGTTTTATGATAATAACGTACAGCTGGATCATTACCCAGAATCTTACCCGTGCATATCTCTCATTGTGCAGACGAGGTCTTCTGAGCGGTGGCAAATGTGCTGCCACACATGACAGGGCTAGATCCTCTCGACCTCTGTTATTGTGCTAGTTATAAATCTGTGCTGTCTTTCCTTTTGTTTCTTGCCTTTGTCTCATTCTCTCTCAATTCCTGCCCTCCTTTTCTTAGAATGTGTTACTGCCAAGTTTCGACAAAAGGCTTCAATTGTGGGCACTCAGGGGAAAACTATTATTAATTAATTATGAGTGTGGAAAAGTAATGTTTCGAAATACTGTTAAATTGCATGTTAATGAACTGGAATACATAATCGAGCCAAAATGCTAATTATTAACGACAAATCATGCAAATTAAATATGCCCATTACCATCCGTCGTTGTAAAAAATTGCTCAATAAGTATGACCATTCGGTGCTTATATTGAAGTGAAAGCATGACTATACATCCACATGTTATTATAGAAATTTACAATACATGAGTGAATTTTTTTGTTATCAGTCTGATAGTAATTATATACGTATATGCGTAGTTCTCTATACGATACGATATACTTTATTGTCCCCGTAAAGAAATTTGTTCTGGACTCCATCCTGCAGTTCCGCATACATGTACATATACAAACATAGTGGACATTAAGAGACATACACATATCATCAGTCATACACTGTTTGAGCAGTGGCGAACCGTCAGGGCCTTCAAGGTATTCAGAGAATACCCTGGAACACTCAGATAAAACAAACAAAAAATCGATTTAATTATATAAATAAAATGTATATAAAATGAATAAATGAGAATGGTATCTGTGTTGTTGATCTGTAATATTACAGTGTTACGTTTATTTGTTTGTCCTTCTCGGACCATGCACTACGCATTTCAGTGGTTTTGTGTTAGAAAAGAAAGCAACCAATCAGATCTTGTCCTTCAACCAAGGTATTCTACATCCTTGATAGAATGCCCTGGCCGTTGCACTGAATGAGAGCGTACGTTTGGACTGACAGTTTGATCAACCAATCATGTATTGATTTGTAGCCAATGGGCGTATTCTTTCAGAGTTTCCCTCGGTTCCAGGGTACTCTAGAAGGCCCGGTAGTTAACTGGCTCGAGACAGAGGCCGTTTCTCAATCGCGAGGAAACTGGATTCCAAGCCAATATTTCAAGGATACTACGTCATCGAGTGCCGCCGAAGGACTGTTCCAATCTCCAGCATACTTGGAATTCCACCGAGGCCACGTCCTTGGTTTGGGGGTAATTTCGAGGCTGCACATGATTAGACTTTGCGTCCTTCAAATCCCCACAATGCTTTGCGCACGGACCAATTTCAAAAACCCTTGCGGAGAATGGCTGAGCCGACGCAGCACAGCACACATTTAAATGTAAGTATGTAGTGGCGTAGAACATGTGTGGTAAATATGTTACTTTGTTGCATTTGTTATCACCAAAAATGTGTTCCGTGAAAGTAAAGCAAGGGCGGCGAGGGGTGTGTTTGTCTACAGAAGGTCCAGTTGTGATAGACATGGTTCGCCACTGCGTTTGAACAAACACAATACACAGACGCACTGGCGACATATTGCACTACACCCTCATGGCCAACATTTAAAAAGTACATTTCATTTCATGCGAATGTTCAGAAGCTTAATCGACATAGGTAGGAATGAGTGCTTATAGCGGTTCAGCCTGCTCTTGGGAACCCTAAATCTTCTACCAGAAGGTAGGAGCTGGAATTCTGGGTGGAGTATGTGGGTGGGATCAGACACCATTTAGTTTGCCTGTCTGATAATGGACTGCTCGTATATGTTTTGGAGAGATGGGTGTTTTTTAACCCCCATAATTGTCATAGCAGTCTGTACCAGGCCAGCGATCTGTGACTTTGACTGCACTGTCAAGTTACCATACCAGGCAGTAATACCATACATCATGATGCTCTCCAACTGTCCAGACCACAGACCAAACTATCTGTGTGATCTGTTGCATTAGTGTCTTAACAGTGAAGTAGCAAGGTGCTAAAAAGACTAGACTACCTTTTTTCCTTTCTTTCTGACGCTGCGCAATTAAACGGTTATTTAGGTCTAAGATAATAATTTATGTGGATTCCTTCATGAGCACCATGCTAAGTCTAAATTATGTTCTTAAAATGATCATTACTTTGCAGCAGGGAGTTTTACTGCAGAATTTAATTGCACTTTTAGGGCTGTGCCTTGCCGCATGAATAAGATAATGAATGAATGAATCAATGGATTTTGCACATCATTATCACCATGCATTGTGATCTTGATGAGATTGCACTCTGAAAGCCTGGAATGTTCTGCAACAGCTCTCCTGTGGTGAGAGGTTGTGTTAGGGCACTGTGGAGACTTAGATCAACGTCTACTGTTCATGTCAACCTCCATTAGGCTTATGGTTCCCTTGTCCTTTGATCAGTAGACAGATGCAAACTCAGCATAAAGTAAGTCATTAAAGATCATTTTAGAAGCATCACTTGGAACTGACAGTCAAATCCTTTTACGCATAAACCTTGTGTGGCATGCAGTGGTTGTTAACATTGGTTAGCCTTGTAGGCTCAGGGGAACACTTGAAGCGATGAGTTATCCTTGGGGCTAAGTGCTTTTGAACAACCTGTGCAACAGCAGCGGGATTCATGAGTTCATAGCACGATTTGAAAAGGCTACGGCAATACTCGGTGAAACCTCTTTAGTAAAAAAAAAAGGAATTTGTGACACGTTTGAATTATGACATGTTTTATTGTTGCTATGGCTACACCAGCAATTGATAATTCAGTCTTAACAACAAGAAGTCAGTATTTTATTCTTCCACGCAGAACATTTTTGTTTAAAGGTCTGCACCAAAATAAACAAAGTGAATATGTGTCTGTGCTTTGTTGGTGAATACTGTGAAGGCTTTTATGTCCTGACAAATCTCTCTTCAGAATGCAGTGAAAAGATAGCACTCAAAGCTCCACCGTCATTCCCTGCGGCGCGGACAGTGTGTTCACTTGACAGTAAGAAAATGAAAGCCAGCTGCAAGCAACACATTTGAATTCAAGCTAGTGTGTAAAGATAGTTTATTAATATTTATGTTAATGTCATAGTAAAAATGCATCAGCTTCTCATCATGTGGTATGGAGTCTTGCATGGACACAGTTTTAGTTAATTTACATTTCTGTTCTCTTTACGCTGGTTTGAATTGTATTTAGAAACATTTTTGTTTTAAACTCTCATTAAATAAAGGTATTTATTTATTTTCTGTTTTCTTAAACCTCAAATGTATAGATAAAAGCTTTAAAGTAAAAATAAATGATTACTGTAATTTAGAATGAAAAATCCAAAGTAGGCTACTCACTGTCAATGTTAATCTCTTGCATTTGAGATACTGTAAGTCCACTTTACTAAACTTGCATTAGACCCAAAATGTTGACATTTAAATGATAAAGACTTATTTCCTGTAAGATTTCACATAGCTGTCAACCTTTAAGTGTCTTCCGCTGTGGCGGCAGAATAATTTGCCATTCCTTCCCTGGAAACAGACAACCGAAGACCTTTCGGCCTTCTCATTTAACATGACAGCTGTCAGTCATGTATCTGATATGCCATCCCCCTCACTGCAGCTGGCCAACCTTTAAGTCCTCCCACAAGACTAAATGATGTTTAGTTGTCCAACCAGATCCCTCACAACCCCACCTCATAACGCTGTGCTTTCGAAAATTAGCCCATGAGGGAGAAATTCTAATTAGTGCGAAGCGAGTATAAAAGTGTATTCTGAAACAGGAAATGATGATGGAACAGCCTGCACCTTAAGCTCCGATTTACACTGTATTTATTTACGACACATCTTCAGTTCAAAGTGTTACCTTTGAGATGAAAAAAAATACCATGAGGGAGAAAAAGGTAAAGCTATTGGCTTACATTTATGTGATTTTATAGCTTTGCTAAAGCTTTACTGGATGCAAGTGGAATCTATGTTGTTGAGATATAGTGCAGGTCTCAGTAGTTCTACTTTCTACAGTATCATAGCTTTCACAACACATTATAAGTAGCTTCCCCTAAACACAACAACAACTTCAAATAAGCCCCTTTCATTTCAGACAGAATACTGCATTTGATTTTGCAGCCTAAAAACCGGCAATCTGGGCCGAGTATTTGAGCACGCTTAGCCCTTATATATTTATATATATATATATTTTCCTTCTATTTTTGCCTCTGCTATCCTTCTGTGGCCTTCATCATCAACTGATTCACCTGCCCGTAATGCTCCAAAATGATGACTGTGATGGACCTCATCACAGGCAAATGTATACTGTTGAGAAATGAGGTAGTAATTCCACAGTGTCACACTCAGAGACTAGACCTTGTCTCACACCATGTCGTGATAGGAGGAGGTTGTGTGTTGAGGATAATGCAGCGTTAAGACAGTAATGGGCGGTAAAGGTTGAAACTTTGCAGCCATAATTGTGGAGCAATGAGGTAATTTTCCGCTGTAAGTGGCATGTAGCTTACATTAGATATGATATATCACTGCCTATACTTACTTACTCATAGTCAGCATTAGACAGCGTATACTCAGTTTTACTAGGTTAAGATAATTTCATTTTGCATAAAACTTTTTACTCTACTAAATTGGCACTAGTATAGAGTATACGTATAACTTTACATTCGATAACAGACTGCTATCCTGTATTTCAATTAAATTACCTTATAATACAATTTACAGTTGCATTCTCAATTAGATTTGAAGGTACATGTATTTGCTCTCAGATTATGGTAGCAGTTTTTGTGCAAAAATGCAACAAAAAAACTTGCTTGGATTTAATAAAACATCATGCTTTTGGTTTCAAATGAATAGATCTGTTACTGATTTAAGGTACGGACATATTTAAATAAGTTCCTCTTTGACGGGTCACATACACTGGTCTCCCGGGGGGAAATCATGTGTTTGATTGACCCACCCATCATCTAGGTAGGAGATTATCCTTATGGTGACTTAATTAGCAAAGTATAATTATTATGTCAAATACATATGAGGGGAAATTATTCAAATTGAACACAGTTACAATTCTACGTCAAGTACGCTATACAGTCAGAACACAGTCTTAAGGGGAGTAATAAAAGGCAAACTAAAAGGATAATGAGCAGATATTGGGTAAAGAATAGGTAACTAAAAAGACGATGGATAGACCAAGAATGAAATGAGAAGGGAAGGGAAAAGACAAAAAGGTACAAATCTGCATACAAAGAGATGGAAGGAGAATGAGAGTGTCAAAAGGGAATATATGGTAGAAGGAGAAGGCACAGTACACCTCCTGAGATTTAATAGCAGCATCCTGCCCTTGCCATAGATCCTCCTGCCTACGACTCAATGAGGCACCATCTGTCACAAGCTTGTTACATGCAACCCTGCTTAAAAAAACACAGAAGAGGGGAAGAGGAAACTTTGCAGGAGTTTTCCCATTGACTTTCAAATGAGGATCTGTCAAAGTGAAGACTGACAGCTGAAGAGTAAGGGCTCCTGTGCTGCTGACCTGAACAGTATCAACTCTGATCAGCAGTTATATGTTGGTCTCCAAAGGTTTACTTTCTGCTTTTGCTCTCCTTCACTGGCCGGACGACAGAAGAGATTCTAAACCCTTCACTTCACAGCAGCCCGAAAGCACACAATCATATTCAAGCGGCTCCTGAAACATGAGACACAGAGACATGTTTCCGCCTACTGGCAACACATCAGCAGTGAAATAGCACCTGTTCCGAGCATTTTAGAATCAAACAATCCTACAAATTACTGAGTTGTTTGTTACCATTTATGATGAATAATTTCACTCTTCTTGGTCTGCTGGCAAAGTCTCAGAACAATCATTCCTGCCCTGATTAATGGCTTGCTCTAAGCACTGATGCATGCCAAGAAAGATGGAGGGGCTTCATGGTGGGAGAATTATATCAGGATTTGTGGCTGGCTGGGGGCTTTGAAGCAGAGAGGATAAATCGACTGAGCAATAAAGGTTACTAAAGTCTATTCTGATACTATTACGTCACCAGGGATCTCCCTCCAGGGTTAGGGGAGGGTGGGATGAGTTCCACTGACTGAAGTGATTATAGCGACTGATGGCAGGCTTTGAAGAAGTTAAATTGTTAAACAGTTGTCTAAATCTTCCCTATTTGTTTATGGATCAAAGTCATAGGAAGACAGAGAACATTTGACCAGTTTAACAGACATGTCTTTTTGGTGTCTGCATGGCTAACTGTTTTTTCAGCTTTGATTAAAATCTGTATTAATAAGAGTTGTCAGGTTATCACCCTAAACATATCACCCTCATCTTTCCTCTCTGTAAATGCTTCAGTAATCCTGCAAAGGGAATTTCACAGACAAGCTTCAAACAATTAGCAAC